TGCTTGGGATGAGGTGTCCTAGGGACCAGGAGAGGGAGCTTTAGTCTACAGCAGACAAAAGCTGTAATCTGGAAGGAGGGCAAACGGCATGTTCTGCCTGAGAGCTCATGCTCAGTCACCGAGATACCTGCTTCCTCAGTGCTTCTGCAGGCACGTGGCCAGGTCACGTGGTGGCTTTTTTTAGATGCCGTGGGGAAGGAAGGCTCGAGCTTGAAACAGAGTCCGTGGTGCACTTTTTGCTGAGGAAGGGCAAAACTGCATCTGGGCTAATGTAGAACACAAGGCACATACAAATCTACTCGCTTTTTGTGTGAAGAAATCGTGAGCCTGACCGGAGGGACTCGGACCACGTGGAACCAATAGACGTGCTTTTATGCATAAATACTAGGAAGGCTATTTTAATGTGTCAACGCTTCTGTCATTAATGATAACAACATGATGACGTGTCAGAATAGCCATACTGTAGTCAGGGTTGCCTGTGTAGTCAACCAGTTGTGGCTTAAGTACTCTTAGAGCTGATTATAGAGACACATGCTAATTTAAATATGTAAATACTGCTTAAGGCAACTTTAATAATAGGATTCATCCTCCTTCCCCTTCCTTCCCCTCCCCCCTTCCCCTAAGAAAAAAATCAACTGGAAAAGCTGCTGCACTGCTCTGTACCTCTGCATTGCTAGGCTTTCTACAGTGAAGCAACTTATGTCAGACTTTATCAGGCTTATTGTTAAGTCAAAACTCAACAGAAGCTGCTATGAGAATCCATAAGTGAGAGGGAGAATTACCTAATTTTCAACTCTTTTCTACTCCGATCCAAAAAAACTGGTAAGCCATGTAAAAATTATGTTGGGCTACAGATTGGTGCTGCTTCATCTTACTGATATTTCTCAACATTCTGACAGCTTCCGTTTATGTGATGGGTTCATGCTATGATGTGGAATTTGAAACTGTTTTCCAGATCTTTCTCCTGCTTCCTGCAGCCTGAAATGTATCACATGACCCACTTGGTGCAAGACCCATTGGTCTCTGTAATAAATCAAGCAGTGTTCCTTTCCCTTCCTTATTAATTGCAGCACTCTTCAGGAGTTAATTGTACAGAAAATAGCTTTAAGCTGTTCAATGCTTTGGGTAGTAAGAAAAAAGAGGGTGGAAAGCTCTGTGGTGTAGTTGAGGAAAAGTTCCTTAGCAGTATACAATTCAAGGCTGTTGGTTTCAGTTCCACAAGTTGAAGAAAGCCATAGCATAAAGAATGTTTGGAGGTTTTTTCTTCTTTTCACCCTATAATGTAGTCCCTTATATAGCTCTGTAGCAAAACCTGATTGGCGCACGTTAAGATAAACTTCCTTTCTTTTCTGTTTATTAACACTTGCAGAGCTGTTGCGCAGCCACTGGTACCTGTATTGGGGAAACATAGCATACAAGCAAGAACCTTACAGCCTCAGTGGCGAAAATTTTTTCATGTCAGAGACCGAGAACTCTTGCAGTCGTTTATGTCATCCCGTCTTCTCCAGACAGAAGATACCAAAAAACTGCAATCAAAGATCTCTTCATCTTATTGATAAAGCTACTAATAAGGCAAAATGTCTGTCAACGTCAACCGCAGTGTTTCAGATCAGTTCTATCGCTACAAAATGCCCCGTCTGATTGCCAAGGTAACTTACTAACCATTAGTGCTAAGTAGGTAGTGTTTCACACCACTTGCTCTCTTGATAGAGGAGGAAGAGAGGTGTGAGGTAATGATAATGTTTAGCCAGTCAGAGGGCAAGGAGGATGTTTGCTCCTTTCTGTCTGGACTAAGTGCACATTAGCTCTTCTAAGACACACTGCAAAGCAGAACTTAGATGTAGTGAAATGGGGAAAATGCACACTGGGTTTGGCTGTTGCAGTCACTTGATCTTAAAACTTTTTTTTCTTTTAGGTGGAGGGCAAAGGAAATGGAATAAAGACAGTTATAGTCAACATGGTTGACGTTGCAAAGGCGCTTAATCGGCCTCCAACGTGTAAGTAGTCGAGTGACACAGCACTTTTTTTTTTGTGCTTTTGTGTTCAAAGTGGTAGTGTTACATAGCTAGTAAGCATTAACACTGTTTTTTCAAGGTTTGTAAGAAAGAAATGTGACTATCTCAGGATGAAATAGTGAACAGAAAGAAGCAATGGCATATTTAATTGCTGTTAAAAATCACAAGATATGAGAGCAGTGGTGATTATTATACTTTCTTTACAGATCCTACCAAATTTTTTGGTTGTGAGCTGGGAGCACAGACCCAGTTTGATGTTAAGAATGACCGTTACATTGTCAATGGATCTCATGAGGCGAATAAGCTGCAAGACATGTTGGATGGATTCATTAAAAAATTTGTTCTCTGTCCTGAGTGTGAGAATCCTGAAACTGATCTGGTGAGTGCGCTCAGTCTATTGGGGTAGCGCTATGGAAACACTTCGTTAGATGTTTATGGAGATGGTGTGAATTTAATAGCCAACTTGAATATCTGTGAAGAGAAAATCCAGTACACACACACCCCCTGTTTGGGCAAAGCTTTACATTTTAACAGTTCAGAATTGTAAGCTAAATTGCTACTTACAGACTTGCTGTGGTGGGGGTGATATAAAGTATTCAAACCTCTGGCTTAAGCCTGTGGGGATGATAATGTAAACATCAGGTTTAGACTTTAATACTTAATTGTTCTGTAAGTGGTATGTTAACTGGAGGTTGTTCTGTTTTACAGCATGTCAATCCTAAGAAACAAACTATAGGTAACTCTTGCAAAGCCTGTGGCTATCGAGGCATGCTTGACACAAACCATAAGCTCTGCACGTTTATTCTCAAAAACCCACCTGGTAAGTGTGTTTCCTTATCTAGTGAGTAAAGGGAGCTTCTTCAGTGTGAGTGAGGTTAATGGAAGCAGAAAATAATTAAAGTGTAAAAAGACTCCAGCACACTCACAGAGTATGTTTGTGGGTCAGGATGAAGCAGCTGTGTTCATACTTTCAATATGAGCAGTCTCTTCCCTTGTTATCCTGTATTCTTCCCAAGTAGAAGTATTTGAAGAGTTGGATTTGCCTGTGCAGGACAAGACTCAAGAGGGGAGCTAGTCAGCCAGGAGCTCATTGCAGTTTTGCCTTCAAGTCAGTGGGAAGTAGAAGGGTAGGAGGTAAAAGCAGTATAGTAAATGCTAACTGTAATGTACTTGGTCTGTGCAAGCAACACTCTGTAGTAAGCATCTAGTTGCCTGCTGCAATTTAAGCTTGCTAGAATAGAAAAGTCTAACCTATTCCAGGGGTCTCTGTGTTGTGAGGTCACCTGTTATATAGACTTGGACAACCTTATGTCTTGATGAGAAATGAGACTTGCACCAGAACCAGGGGTTTGCCGAGCAGGTGTATATCTGCCCTGAGTGTATCTGGGGGTGGGTACTATACATAACTTGCTACTAATAAAAGCATCCCAACTCACTTGGGGATTTGGCAGAGGTGAGGTAGTGCAGGGACTTCAGCTTTCACTAGTTCATGGAATAAAACATTAAAATTAACTTGCAGAAAGTGGTGACACTGGTACAGGAAAGAAAGAAAAGGAGAAGAAGAACAGAAAAGGCAAGGACAAAGAGAATGGTTCTGTGTCCAGCAATGAGACACTTCCACCCCCACCACCAGAGGAGATTACACCTCCACAGGTTGTGGTAAGTAGAAGGGAAAGCAGGGAGATGGGCGTGTGTGGTGTCTTGCTCTAATTTAAATCACTGGTATTCCCTGCTAGTCAGCATTGCACCAAAAGTTCTTATTGTATCCAGAACTTCATTGCTGGAATAGAAGTATCCCTGGGTCTCCTTTATGGCAGCTTTATCAACTCTTCAGTAGCAGTGTTTTGTGTTCCTTACTGAGTGAAAGCTGCATACCCTTTACAGTCCAGGTCCCTGAAAAGGAGTATCTCGTGAGCGTATTAGGAGTGGTAAAACTGCTCTTCAAGTCACCCTGCAGATGGCTACAAACTCGTGTCTAGCTTACGTTACTTCTTCCCTACATCTACCCTTTCTCCATCATCTTTGACTTCCAAATAATAGTATAACCCTTTCTTTAGGGAAAGATCAAAATTGCCTGTTTAAAAACGCTCTCAAATCTGTATTTGGAAAAGACACCTATTGCTAAGCTTGTAGTAACATTGTGTGAACCTGTTGCTTTGGTTTTGTTTTTGAGGAGGAGGAGGATGATGATGATTGGGGTGAAGACACAACAGAAGAAGCCCAGAGGCGTAGAATGGATGAAATTAGTGACCACGCGAAGAACCTCACACTTAGTGAAGACCTGGAAAGAACGGTGGAGGAGAGAGTCAACATACTATTTGACTTTGTGAAGGTGAATATTTTCTGGTGGTTTGCTTGGTAGTCTGCTGCAGTTGTATAAAATGTTGGTAAGGAGTCTTAAGTGCAAGCTGCTTAAGCTTCTACCAAAGTAGTTCCACCAGTGGTGGGGAAGGAAGGGGTGCAATAGAGCATTGACGCAGACCTTGGTAGCTCTAAAATGTTTCTATCTGTTACTGTCTTTGTAGAAAAAGAAGGAAGAAGGTGTCATTGATACTTCTGACAAAGACATTGTAGCAGAAGCAGAGAGACTGGATGTAAAGGCTATGGGCCCACTAGTTCTCACTGAAGTCCTTTTTGACGAAAAGATTCGTGAACAGATAAGGAAATACAGGCGTCACTTCCTTCGTGTAAGCAGCCTCTTCTTTTGCATCCAATGTAACAACTGTTGGGTTGGCTTTTTGTAACAACTGCTTTTGACTCAGTTCTGGATTGCTTGGTACTTTGGGGAAGAAGGCTTTTTGTAGTTTGTTTTGTTTTTTTAAATTCCTCCTTAACTAGGGAGAACTGCTGGGAGCGATAGTATGAGCTGTTGTAAATTTTCTTATCTCATTTTGTTGAGAAGAGAAGCAGCAGTCCTTTCTGGAGAGGGGAAAAAAAAAGCTAACTTAATTGTGTTTACTTTTATCATTATTTTAGTTCTGCCACAACAATAAGAAAGCTCAACGGTACCTTCTCCATGGCTTTGAGTGTGTGGTAGCCATGCATCAGTCTCAGCTTATCTCTAAAATACCACATATTTTGAAGGAAATGTATGATGCAGATCTTCTCGAAGAAGAAGTCATCCTTGGCTGGGCAGAAAAGGTAAGGGGTAGTATTTCATGTACTATACAAGCAAAGTACCTGGATGTAGTATACTGTGTCTGGTTTCTCCATTCTGGTGTAGCTTCTGGTGCAGATGTCTTTGAACAACTAATCTGAGAAGTTAACTGTCTGGGAGAAACCTCCCTTTCAAAAATGGGCTGTTCAAGGCAGCGGGGTGAGGTGAGAGTTTGAAGTTAGGCTTTTGCTGTGTTTGGGTATGATCTAATGTAAACTGCTCTAGTGTTCAAACAAAGTCTGGTTACTTCTGTCTTTCAGGCCTCAAAGAAATATGTATCAAAGGAGCTTGCCAAAGAAATCCGTGTCAAAGCAGAACCATTTATTAAATGGCTAAAGGAAGCTGAAGAAGAATCTTCCGGTAATGAAGAAGAGGATGAAGATGAAAACATAGAGGTAGGAAGGGCTCGGTTCCTGTAAACAACTCCAAGGTTGCGGTGTTCCTGCATGCTGAAGTCTTTGTCTTGCTGCACTATAAAATAGCTTAGCTTACTTCATGTATTACTGCGCATGTTGGGAGGTGGAGGGACACCTCATGTCTAATGCTGTGTCAGAGTGTTTTTGCTACACATAGTCACTTGTCTACCTAAGATCCTTTTTGTAATGGTACAGGTGCATGTTAATAGCCAAGGACTATCATTGTGGAATAGCACAGTCTCTTGCACAGTAGAGTAGTTCATGTAGTGGAAGATTGACAGGAGGTATTGTGTGTAAAGCCTCATCTTCTAGAAGAGTTAGTGGGTGTATGTTAGAAAAGCTGGTTAAAGAACAAATGACCGTTTTCCTCATGGTGTAGGCCTAGGTAAAATCCTTTAGCTATGCTCCAGCTGACTGTGGCTGGGATTTTTTTTTTTTTGCACGTGGGCTTTTTGTTTGTTTATTCTCATCCCAGTAGTACCTACTCTTGTTCCTGGGTATGAGATCCTACTTCATACAGATACACATGCATGCCCCTGCTTTCTAAAGACAGATGTTACGGCATAGTTGTAGTGTTGGCATGCCTGAACTCAGGTTTCCTATGCAGCATTAGTTCTTGTAGGGGAAGATGGTGTGCAGTGCATTTCAGAACGGAGCAGCGTGTTAAGCGGGTCATGGCAATAGACAGGAGGGCTGTTGAGCAGGCGGGTGTGTTGCAGCTTCTGATGTTAAAATTACTCCAGTGCTTAATGACAGTAGGTGCTGTAGTAAAAGTAAGTGTCTTGTTTCCACAGGTGGTGTACTCTACAACTGCCAGTGTACCTAAAGTTGAAACTGTGAAGCCTGCAAACAATAAAGATGATGATATTGATATTGATGCCATTTAAAGTGATGCAACATAGCTTCCAGCATAATAATGCAAACTTCTCTGCATTTTCTGCCAGAAGTGTGACTTGTATGTGCACAAGCTGAAATGGCTTAACATCCTGCTACTCTTTGTACTCTAAAATGTATCTTTTTACTGTGACTGGTCTTGTGTAACTAAGCCTAATACCAAGGAGTCAGCACGTCGGTGAACTGATCTAGTTTGCAACTGGCATGTTCTGTTTTGTTTTTCTAACTTGTGTTGGACACATACTTGGAGCACATTTATACAGTTGTGGAAATAAAGGATTTGGTTTTGGTCAATCTTCATTTGTGACTTTGAACTCCCTTATTTCTTTTCCAAGTAAGTATTTACATAACTTGGTGAAACATGTAAAGTTGAAGACAAAATGGCAAAAGCTGATGTGCGAAGTTTGAGACAAAATGACAAAAATGTCTGACTAAGGCAAAAAAATAACCTTAGCTTAGAGGCTGTTGCAACAGTGGAGACTTGAAACCCTGGGCAAGAAGCAGGTGTTGGGTAATCTGCAGCGTACAGATGCCAGCTTCTTAAAACAGAAGGCAACCGGATTGTGATCTGTGCAGGCTTTTTTTTTAACAAAAACTTCCACAGGTATTCATTACAGAAGTTGGGGTTTTTTTCTGATGTTTTCAACAGGTCCATTAAGTACAGGTTTCAGGGCTCTGACCAGAGCTGAGGGAACCAGTACCTCTGCAGTTAACATGCATTGCCACTGAATAGCTGGCTGTGGCTTTACACACTGCTGTGTGGTGTCATCATAGCACAGGAGACTGGCATCCTGCTCCAGGCTGATTTGGGGGGTGGAGGGAGGTGAAGAGGGCATGATCTGTTTACTTGAGCACAGGAGCCCCTGATGCTGACCTGTATAGCTGTGGAAGTGAGTTCTGTAGATCCCAAAGGCCAGTGCAGAGGTGCCAGATTCCTTCAGAAACAAAGAGGAACTCGGTCTATCTAAATCGGGAAATGTGTGACATGGTGAGCGATGGGTTTTGGTGTAGGTATGTGGGTCAGTGCAGGGGCTTTGGGGAGAGGTTTTTTTTTTTGTTGCCCTTCACAGCCTTCCACTCTGGAAAACCAAGAGTGGCAAGAGGGTGATAATGTTTTCTTTCATTGTTGTGAGATTCAGTATTAAAAGTTCTGAGAGATCAAGGTGCCAGTGCAGTGAGCTGCTTTTTCTAGTCAAACTTAGAGCAGAATTTGCAGTTGGATGAAGGGGAAGATTATGTTTGCTGGGTGCAATAGTGGTGACTTGAGCTGTGGGTTTTCCTCTCCAAAACTGGGGTGTAGGTCTGTGAACTTGTGTTTGCAGGTGGCCCTGGCAGCAAATTGTCACTTGGCACTAGCAGATGTGACAAACAGCATTAGAAAGATGGGGTGAAGCCAGGAAGCATTTGAAAGCGTTTAGATGGATGTTTATTGTAGTACAAAACCATGATTTTTCAATTGAAATACAGGTTTATTCCTGGCTTCTTTTTCTCTAAAAGAAAATGCCATTATAGGCATTTGCCTGCCAGGCTGCAAGGTTGAGATCCTCTGAAAAAATCCCAGCTGAATACAGTATCACTATTGCAGAGCTGATGATTTTTGCCTGCTATTCCTGTAGAAAACTGTAATGGGTGGGGTTTTGTTGTGCGGATAGAATTAAGAGACTAGAACCTGTGGAACTTTTTTAAAGTGAAAGGCTACAAGTTCAGGGCTGGTGACAAGCTTGACAGGGAAGGGTTAAAAACACTGTCTAGCTGGAGGCAAGGTTTCAGCCCTGGCTTTCTTGCATATGTGTATCAACAGGTTGGGCATGACCAATACCCGGATAATGAAATCATTCAGCAGTATCTCCCAGTCACCTTGGTGATGCGGTTGTAGGACTTCACAAGTTGTACCTCCCTGGTAGTCACTTACCTGTTGCAGTGGGAGGTGGGTGCTTGTATTGTGGGTAGGAGTGTGAGCCAGCTTTGTCTTTCTGAGCAGAATTCCTGCTTGTGCAGGCACTGAGAAGCCTTACACTCCTGGGAAAGAGCGTCACAGCTGCAATGTTGAGAAATGCTGTGGCCCCTTAACTGAGTGTACAGGAGAGCTCCCTGCAGCATGGGCAGGCACCACCTTCTGATTCTCTGAGGCTGATTCTTAGCTAGTGTAGGTCAGCAGGGTTCACCAAAATAATCAGTTGCTCCATGCTGATCATCTGCAGCTGTGGCTTTGCAGATCTGGGTTGATACCAATGCCATCTCTAGGATGTGACTGAAAGGTTTCTGTGTGAGGTATGTGTTGCATGGTGTTGGCTGCTACCAGCTGTGACAAGGTGAAGTTTCATTCAGGGTGTAGTTAAGTTTCATTTTAGAGCACACTTAATTGTAATTGCATGCTGCCACCAAAGGATGATATTTTTTTTCCACCCCAAGACCTAGTGACTAGCAAGACAGACCTATTCTTTCCAGTAGGGAAACTAGGAAATAAATCCACCCGAAAAACAATTTTCCATAGGGTCAGTGAACTGATGATGTTATAGCAAAGCTGTGTGATGGTAGATTTGGGGTAAACATGGTGGGAGTGTGCAGAAAGTGAAAGTGTTCTTGTATGTAGTAGCCCACAGGTAGATCAGATTTAAGTGTGTTATAAAGTGGTACCCTAATATTCAGATATGGAGGAGGCTTCTAGAAGCCCTGAGGCCACCACTAACTGAAATTCCTGGCACTGAGTTCCACTTCTCACCCTATTTTCACACACATTGCTGTTTCCATCTCAGATTGTTAACTGAGGATTCCACCAGCTACTAATAAAAATGAGTGTTTGTTTTGTGAGTATTTCTTTAGGGAAGGAAAATGTCTGACTTAGAAGTTTCCTGAGTCTTTGAATTTATTGCTGCTGCTATCTGATTAAAAGTAACAAGTACATCTTCAAAAGGCAACTTGGTGTTTAGATACCATCTGCTCAAAGCTTCAAAGAGACTCCTGGCACCTGGAAAGGAAACAGTAAGTGTTGGGCGATTGCCCTCACTTGCTTCATACCGTACAGTCTCCCTGTTTAAAACCCTCAGTGTGAATGCTGTGATTTGGCAGGTGGAAGGTCTAGCAGCAGGTCCGTTAGCCTTGGCTTTACAAACCTTCATCTTCTCCCAGGGGCCTGCAATCAGGAGTTTTACTGCAGCTCAGCAGCCTTCATCAGTGGCTTCTCTCCATCCAGCACAATGGGGAGCTTCTCAGCTGACGGCTTTGCTTGGGGCAGAATCACGAGCAGATGAAAGGAGCTCAGCAGCTTCAGCTGAAGTTTGAAATCCTGATTGTTGTTGTGCATACAAGAAGTAAAATTGCCTGGTTTTACTCTTATTAATGAGAGCCTAAAAATCGTCATTAGAGGTCAGGGCCTCACTCAGCTGGATGTGGTAGACATGTATTATATAAAAGGACATTCTTTGCTCCTGAGAGTGTACAGCTTGGGCTTGTAGCAAGGCAATGACTAAAGATAAGAGTGATTTGAAGTGATTGCAGTAGGCATAGTAATGTGCTGAATGCTTTTTACTTCCCCTTGCTGTGGTAGCGGCTACCCCAGCTGGTGTAACCGCAATGTGACGCTCCCAAAGAGGTCAGCTTTTTAAACAGGGCGCAGTTTGCTCTGTGGGGTCACTTGTGTGACGCATTGCCACGAGGCTATTGTTCCTCCCCACTAAGATCTTCCTTGTTCTTTAGGTTGAGATGCTTGCTGAAAGATCCCAATCTCCACACAAGTCAAACAGCTGGATTGATTTGTTGCTGGCCAGATGTACCATAGAGTTAAAAGAGTTGATTTATAACTCTAATAAGTAATGTTTCCTATGTGGGTGTATTCTAGTTGTGCAAGTTCTGAACTTTGATGTTTGAAAAGAAGAGGTATCACTGAAAAGTAGTTAATGTAGCGATCTGTAACAATGCTGTCCTTTCATTTGAGGGCTGCTACAGGGTAGTAATAAGATCACAGCAATCCTGGGTTCCCGTGAAACCAGTGAACGGAAATGGCAAGGAGAGATGGAACAAAAGTAGCTGACCCACCAATTAATTAGTCTTCCAAACTGTGGCAGCTATTTTCTTCTCAAACTAATTACTCCAAAAGAGCCTCAGAGGGCTGTTGACTCCTTGGCATTCAGTAACACCACTGAACTGTGAAGATGTGGAACAGAAAACCTCGAAGCAAAGACAATAAAAAGCAGCTTGAAAACAATGTTCTTGAAAGCCTTATCTGTGAAATACTGTTTGCACGCTTAAATTTCAGCTTAAGTCTTATAAAGTTGTTGGAGCCATTGGGATTGCTTACATGCTTGACAGGCTGCTGGTGTTGTCTATGTTTTTCTTTTGAAGACAATCATCTTGCTGCCACAGAGGTGTCAGAATCTGTCTCCGGACCAAGAATTGGTGAGGAGCTGTTCTGGAGTCGCTGAACAGCTTTCCCAGGATACCACTTCCTTACCTAGTGTGGACCAGCACCAGGGTATCTCCACAGCTTCCTTAGAGCTGTGTCAGTTGGCATCCATCAAGGACGTGGCCCCAGCACACAGGTGATGCTGCTTTTAATTCAGTAAAATTCTGCAACTCCTCGATGTTTTTCAGAGGAAAAAGAAAAAAATCTTTGATATCTTGGGTTAGGAACCCAAGAAACAGGGGTTCACCCAATCATTGTCAGTAAAACAGAGGAACGGTTCCTCCTATTGTGATGAGTGTCACAGAAATCCAATAAACGTTAAACCATCTTTTCTGGACATCAGTTTTTCTACTTGCACATGCTTCAATGTTGGTACTTACTAAATAGCTAAGACTCTTTAGTAATTTAGCCTCAGCAGAAAGCTGCATCCTGGGTTTCTGTGAATAGGATCCTATCAGCTTCCAGTGATGGCCATGCAAATCCGTCATGACGGGGCAGGTCCAGGGTGAAGCCAGGTCAGTAAGGCAAGGCCAGGATCAGCGAGGGCCATGGCTGGGCACAGGCATGCCCATGCGGGTATGCAAGCTTTACAAGGGCCCCAGCCTAAGTGCCAAGGTGGGGAGGCCCCAGACTGGGCTTCTCCCAGCTCCTTCTGCGTCACTCAGCTCCAAGGTTACTCGGCTGCACCACATCAGAGCTGACCTTGAACACAGGTGGCCATGCACCTGCAACGAGGGGGGAGAGGTTGCAGAGCCTGTTCCTGCTCTCAGGACCGTGACATTTTCTGAGGCTGGAGCTAGAGAGTGCTGTTTTTTCCACTGCTAATCTTATCTCATTACCATGGTGATAGATGCATTTTCTGCACAGGATTTTCTTTCTCAAGGGGGGAAGAGATGAT